AACGTAACCTGGATATGATATTATCTTCTTTTCTACTTCTTCCTGTTCCCCTAATTACCCAAACTTTCCTTCGAATGCTATAAAGCCATCTTCCCCCCATGTCTCAGTGAGGTCTAAAAGTTCAAGATCTATATCCAGCCATTCAACAAAGATACCGCTACATCGTTTTACATCTTATTTTGACATTGGACCAATTAGATGAGCCCTTGAATGGTATATTCAAGGGCTCATCTAGTGGCTAACCCTAGCCCTACTGTAAATTAAGATGAAAAAAAAGTTAACAAGTTATGAAAAAAAGGTAAAAAGCTAATTGAAAAGTTAAAAATTAAAGTTAAAAGGTTAATAAGCCTCTAATGTTATGTTGTACCTTAAAAAAAATGTTTTTCTTTTACTCTCAGAGTGTTTTTCATGAATTTCCTAAAGAATTACTTTTATTATTTTTCTTAATATATTAGTGTTTCTTGTTATTGGTGTTTCTTATTACATTGACATTCATTTATCCCATCAAAATATAGGTATTTTTTTATGTTACAAAGGTAATAGGCTCTTGTCCTGGATTTCAATAACACACTACAAAAATGATCTATAAATTTGTTAAAATATCTTAAAAAAGTGTATATACCCTTAATTCGAGTAGGTAATATAAGAAAATCTCCCAGTTGAAGGAGCATTTTTATCCTTAAAATCAGATTATTTGATATTGTGCACTTGAAATAGGAGACTGCATTTTCCCCTTATTTTAAATGTACATTTTTTTATTCCATTTGCAAAGTGTCTGACCTACCTGCTCAATTCAAGATAAAATGCTCTTATTTTAAGAAAGATTGACTTACTTAGAATAGTTTTTGCAGTGCAGTCTTTGCTTGAAATTTAGATGTTTAAAGTCTTTCACTGAGTGCGGTATAAAGGGTTAACTTTGTTATGCAATCACATCACTGTGGTTTATCACTCAGGTTTATGTCAGATTGTCTTCTTTGATTTCTGTGGTGATTTATGTGAACAGTGCTGGATGGAATAATTAGGGCTATAATGTCTTCATAAAATGGCTTGTCTGGAATAGAATTTGCTTGCAGGAATGCATGAGTCAGTGATTGCGGTTCCTCGTCCTGTGACATTGATTACCACAGCCTTACACTGGACATTTGTGCACAAAGAAAGCTTCTTTGCCGTTAATTGGTTTTGCAGTATTCTGCATCTTGCATTTGTTTCACCCCATTTTACATGTATTTGACCATGCAAAGTACTCATTTAAAGCTTAAAAATGCTTTGAGTTGTTTTTTCAGTAAACAACCTGAAATGTATGGTGTAAAATTAAATTGTCAACCATCACCCATGTGAATGAAAGCACAGAATAGCAAGAAGATACTTCTGTTTTAACAGTTCATCTCCCTATTACAGCAAATAACTTGCTGGTGTAAGTGATAAGAATCCCAATATTATGTTTAAGGTCAATATCTGCAGCTGCATACAACCCACAAAGAGCATATCATACTCAGGAAATGCTTGTTTTTTTTTTTTTTTTTTACATGCAAAACACTAAGGTTGTGAATTTATGGAAGGTTTTCCAAAAGTGGACAGCAGTTCTGGGAAAAAAGCTTGAAAAAGAGAATACAATGAATGAAATAGGGAGCATAGCAGACAGGGAAGGGAGGAAAGAAAATATATTTAGGAAAAAAGGACACAAGAGGGAGGTAAAAGGATTTTGTAATGTAAGATCAAAGGAAAAGTCTAAATGAATAGAAGAAAAAAATAAGCAAGGTACCACAATATGAAGAAGTATACAAGGGAGAAAATGTTGTACTAAACGAGTGACAGGAGGTTATATGAAAAAAAAAAAAAAAAAACCCAGAAGGAATGAAGAAAAAATAGAACAGTAAGGAAAAACAGGAGAGTATAAAAAGTAAAGTTTAAAGAGGAGATGAAACAAAAAGGGGCGATAGAACATGAGGAAGAAAAGGATATGAAAGAAGAAATAAGGAGAGATGTAGAGATTTGGACTATCACAAAGTGATGCAGGAGATTCAAGAAAGTTTTTACTTTTGCTAACCCTTTTTTAGACATTTCAACAAGGTATATCTGTTACATTTGTTAATGTCATGTATGTAGTATCTGTGTCTGTGTACACTTTATCTTATTTACAGTGCTTCATGGTACCAATGTTGATTTTTGCTATAACAGGTTTTCATGATGATTTAACTTTTCTGGAATTCATTAATTCATTTCTTTTAAAAATTACATATGATAAAAATTAAGGACAGGAATAATGGGAATACGGAAAAAACTACGAAGAAAAGATCAGAAGAAAAAGGGAATGAAGAAGATTGAAGAAATGATGAGAGACATGAATTTAAGAGGCAAAATGGAAAGACCAAATGATCTACAAGGACAAAAAACAAGATGGAGAGAAGGAACGCTCCCAATATCTATTCAGTGGCATTAAGAATGTCAAGAACTAAACATTTCTTTCATTCTCTACACGACCTGAAAGAAACTCCTACTAGACTTCTTAGAATAAAAACCCAAACCACAAAACAATAAGAATAACCAGGCTGATTGTTTGTTAAACACTGTTTTCATAAAAAATATTTATTTACAATGTTTATGCATAAGATGGCAGCAGGTCTTTGAAAGTCTTCAGTCTGCATTTCATCTTAATAGGAAGATTTTCATCAACCGACACAAATAAAAAATGTTTCCAAAAAAGGTTTTCCAACAGAATCCACTTTCACCGTCTGTAAGTTGCCATGAGCTCCAAACTGAGGTATGAGAATTTTACTGTTTCTTCAAAGAAAGTTAACACTAGTTGCCAGTCAGTGTGTGAGCAGAATGGTGTTCAGAAGGCCAGCTTTTTCATGAGCAGGTAGACTCTGGAGTCCACTTCAAAGCCATGAAGGTTGTTGGCGTCTCCCTGCAGCCTCATAAGTAGGCCTCCATAAGACACATAAGCAGACCTGAAAGGTTAAACAAATCAATGGAGGAGGGTTAGAATAATAACTTTTTAAATTGTGATTTGGTAAGAGGACTAAGTCGATAATTTGGATTCTTATTAGCACTTCTTTCATAAATACATGTTTTATCAAATTTTTATAACAATCCCATCAAAAATGTTGTACTAAATACATTGTAGTAAGTACATGGCTGCGGTGGACCTAATGAAAAATGCCATTTTCCTTCGTCATCTGTGATTACAGTAGCCACAAGGGGACAAACTTTAGGCCTTACATGATTTATCCAGTAAAAACCGGGAGAAAAGAATCTAAAATCATTTTGCTCTCAGAGACTCATCAAGCTTTTATCAGGTGGAGAAAATTCATTTTGCTGGACAGGTGAGTTCAATATAACAGCGGAGTTTTCTTTTGGTGTAATGCTACAAACAAGGCAGCAACCACTCTGTCATCTCAGCAGAGACGGATAGTTTGTTTGGTAGTATTCACTGGACAAGCACTGACACAAGTTACCAGTTGCTCTTATTCTTCATAGAAGTCATAAATCAAGTGACTGTACCCTACTTTCAGCTGTACTTTCCCAAATATTAACCGTGTGATCATAATTTATTTTAGCCGATTTTTCAAGTGTGATGGAGCTGATGTCTTTCCTTGTGTCGGAAATAATAGATCCAAGTTATATCCGTTTGTTGTCCTGATTTGATGACTAAAGCCGCAGCATTCTTCTGCTAAAAAACATCTAATAAAAATTGTGTATAAATGATAGTTGCTTAATGTGGTCCTCATGGCCCACTCTCATGCATGTTCTAGCTTTTCCCTTCCTCCACAACCCTGTCTTAAATGATTAAGAAGCATTTGCAGCTTTTGATGGCAGCTAAGGAAGTAATACGACCATTTGAATCAGGTGTAGGTGAAGAAGGAACAAATTTAACACATGAAGGACAAGGGCACCCTTAAGGTTGATAAAAAATTGTCTAAACAATATGCACGCCCCCCTCCACCTCAACCGACATTGTTACATTTATGACCCTCTGCAGCTTCTGTAGCAGGGGCACAACAGCAAGGCACCAGAGCACACTTCTCTGTAACTGAAAAAAACTTGTCCAAGTCTAATTTGTAATTTATTTAGCCCACCACTAGATGGGAGCAAATCTAATACCTCGAGGCTTTAAGACTGTGCAATAATGCTACATTTTATTCATGACTGATCTATGAATATAACCACCAGAGAGGTAAGCTACCAGTTTACTCACAGACGTGTAGCCGCTTCTGTTGAGGTTTCATCCCCTTCAATCTTGTACACCTTTCCATACATCACATACTCAAACTGGTCTGCTCTACAAAACATAATGCAACAGAGTGTGAACCTCAAACAGCAAAAAGCATGATGCTGCAAACTTCCATTAACATGGACAAACTTTATGTGGCTCAAAATGCCTTACCGAGACGGTCGATCATCCTGAGGGTTGTACTCGCCATCATCTGGTGTTCCATCCTCGTACAGAGTGCTGGCAATTACAAGCCTAAACTTGTCACCTTTATAAAATAGACAAATCAAATCACCAATTTTGGATGTCAATTTTCCATATAAGTACAGCAACAGCTTAGAAATGATACAAAACCAACCCAACACACATTGGAAAAGTCAAACAATATAGGAACCAAGTAGATAGAAAGTTTGCTTTTTTTTTTGTCAAACTAATTATACACTGGGATATATAGAGTTAAAGTCTCACCAAGATCAACAGGGTATATCTGAATGTTCACATCCAAGATAAGGTCCATCTTGAAAGATTCACTTTCACAATGTAGTCGAGACACTACAAACAAAAAGAAAAGTACAGAATGTAGGACCAGACAGTCCATTAACATCACTCAGCTATAAGATAACTGTCATTGTAATATCACTGTTTAGGGATGTCCTGATCCGATACTGATGTCAGAAAGTCTGGACAATATCGTAGGCATTTCCACGTAGAGCATGTTGAGGCGTGATTCTTTGAGTGGAGGGGCCAAAATTAATAATGTCGGAGGCCTCGTTACCGCGATATCACGTGACTGCTTCGGGAAGTGGTTCAGAAAGTGCAAGAACTTCGACAGGAATTTAAACAGCCTCAGTATTCAGTCAAGAAGTGGGAGTTTGTATGGGAGTTGCTTTCAGTTGGAAAGAGTTTGGATAGATTCTAAAAATAGATAGGTTGTTTTTCCAACCTATCTAATTGGTTAAAACTGATTTAGTTAGATCAAACAATGTAATGATCTAAATCTGAGCAAGCGGCTGGACACAGTTGTAATTTAAGTGTTAAGTTGTATTGTTGTCTAATAGTAGTTACTAGTGTTAGTGGCGTCAGCTGTGAGACATTGACTTCCACTCCTGTGGTTGATTGTTCAAGATGCACCTAAAGGGCAGATTATACTTCTGCAACTGCACACATCAAATGTCGCTTGGGTCTGGTCGCAAACCAGTTGTGCTGGTATGCTTCTGCACCGTCGGTCTGGAATTTCTAGGGACCCACAGCAGTTTCCCTCCAAAGCGCAAGGGGGGCCTATTCGAGAACTCGTGAGAAATTTGGCGGCGCAAAGTGTTTATTTTCCAAAACAACAATGGCACGTCTGCAAGATATCATGGTCCAAAGATAGCTCTAGAGTTGCTGGACATCGAAGATGAAGAGGTTCTGTTAATGGAGTCTGTAAAAAGACAGATTAACCTTTTGTCGTAGTTGTCCAGTGTAGTTGTTCCTCAGCTTTTAAAAACGAGAAGGACGACCACACAGACAGTGGGAAAGGCATACCAAGGACCAATCACAGCTGCTTCTTGTCTGCGTACTTCCGCTTGAGGTATGCACGGGTTTGGGACCGTCCGACGCGTAGTCAGGATTTTTTTTAGGTGCGTGAGGGCAGGGGGCACGGTCACGCACAGAGACAGATTTGATGGTTGCAGAGGCTATGCGTCAGAAGCATAAATTGGCCTTAAGACTTTTGAAATTTGTGTATATATTTGTGTATATACTTTACAAGTATTTGGGACTCATTTGTATTGGTTTGCAAATATAGTACAAATATAAATATCTAGTACAAATATATATTTGGCAAATACTGGCAAATTAGATTGGTTGTTTTAACCAAATGATTGGTTGAACACATAACTTCCAACCCGTTTAAAACCAATAACTGAAAAAAGCTATTATGTTTGAACAAAAATGAGTACCACCTTTATTTTGCTCATCATTGCCCAATTTGCACAAGCTCTTTCCCTGTCTGCTTGAACTTATTTCACTGAAATGCCAGAAAAACAGTGTACCTTAAATTACTTTTTTCTGAGACATTTTACACCCAAAACAAAAAGGTAAAACATATTTTAATAAACACACCAATCATTAACAATTTCAAAGGAACTTCAATGGGAAAAGAAAACCATTGCAAAAAAAAAATATCACAAATTTTATTATTAACTGTAGTTCTGCACTCCACCAGTAGGTGGTCATTTTGACTGACTTGCATCATGAGGCTTCATCTCACCATCACTAGTGAATTGGAATAAGGGCTGGATGATACAGCTTAAAAATATAATCCCTTTAGTTTTTCTAACAAATCAAATGCAACATGCTTCTAAAATCATCTAGTTTTACAATAAACAATGAAAATATAACAGGCTAAATGTTTGCAGTATTATCATACAGTTTACCTGTTACCAGTACACATCTAATAACAAAAAGAGATGAACTGACATCTCACTGAGCTACGGACGTCCAAGAAGTGGATGGGTTTAAAAGGAAAATCCAGATTTTCCAGAAAAAAAAAAAAATGTCATAAGGAAAAAGCAAACATTAGCCTATAAAATCCATTAATCTGCAACTAAAACCTATGATATGAGGACACTCTGTATCTGATTAAAGATTATATAACACATTGGTGAATAACTATTGGATTATTTAATATCATGCTTATTGTTAACCTTTGTTAAAAGGAAAGTAATAAATGAACGTATGATCCACCCTGATATAAAAACTCTATATTCAAAGCTGCAGTATCTATACCACAAATGAAAAAGATGCATCTGGACACCCCAAAAAAAAAGTGTGTGGTGACTTATATTTTCAAATAGAAGATTTAGTTTGGGGTTTTATTTCTTTAGACAATCACACCTTAAATAGATAATTCTTTCAATTTTCAATTATGACTTCTTTTTTTTTTACCGTTTTACCCCCTTAATTTAAAGAAGCTACAGGTAAACTTAAACTAAACTAAAAACCGAACTGACGAGTAATTCTGTAACCGTGTTTTTATGTTACCTTAGATTAGGGATCTAATTATTATATATATATATATATATATATATATATAATTATAATATATATAATATAACTGTAATATATATTGTATCAAATTGTACGGAAGAGGATTAGGGCCACTGGAAAAAAAAAAAAAAAGTAAACTGATTTTTAAATTTTATTTCAGTTTAACATGGGAAAAAAGTCAGAATTCTGAGATTAAAGTCAGAATTCTGACTTTAAAGTCAGTATTCTGAGAAAATAGTCAGAATTCTGAGAATAAAGTCAGAATTCTGAGAAAAAAGTCAGAATTCTGAGAAAAAAGTCAGAATTCTGAGAATAAAGTCAGAATTCTGAGAATAAAGTCAGAATTCTGAGAATAAAGTCAGAATTCTGAGAAAAAAGTCAGAATTCTGAGAAAAAAGTCAGAATTCTGAGAATAAAGTCAGAATTCTGAGAAAAAAGTCAGAATTCTGAGATTAAAGTTGGAATTCTGACTTTTTCCCCATACTATACTGAAATAAAATTAAAAAAAATCAGTTAACTTTTTTTTTTTTTCCAGTGGCCCTAATCCTCTTCCGTAAAATTGTGTTATATATAACAGGTCCTATAATCTCTCTATTACAGATGTAGTAATGTAACGAAAGTAATTTCTCCCTCGGATTATTAAAATATTTCTGATTCTGATTCCTGGTTGATGGGACAGGTGTTGTGAATGAAATGGAGCCCAGCTTGAAAGAGCTCCTGTGTGTCGCTGCATGTGTGCATTGATGACTGAAACACATCTTCTGCCTCCATTTATCTGTGTACTACAGTGTGTTCAATTCATGTTAATGTGTATTTAAAGACATTTCAATAAGTGGAAAAAATTGCAGGGGCAATATTAAAATAAAGTCTAATGAACCAAAACTTTTGCGACCCCCATGCAGTACCACCGTGGACCCCCTTGTTGAAGACCTCCGCCTTAGAGGATTTATTTCTCACCTCTGTCAAATTTCTTGCCATCTGGATCGATGTCTTTTACATCAAAGATATCTTCAAACAGAATTCCAGCCATCTCGTGCTAATATGTCTTTAAGGAAAAATAAAAAATATAAAACATGTTATTAAGAACGTGCGATTTGAAGGTAGTTTAATAAAAGGGACAGCGAGGAAAAAAAGAGAACGACAAAAACTGTATAGTCTTAAAACGTTTAAGTATAGTTTTTCTTTGTTTTCATATAAACTGCAACTTTTGCTCCTGTGTTCAAGCTAACTGCTAGCTGTAGCACGTTGTATTCATACGGTTCTTCAGACTTACCACAAACGTTGCTCTTGAAATTAGATTATCGACACAATCAAACCAAACCCACGGAGATTTAAGAGGTCCAAAATGTTGATAGTAGGTGCTCAATTTGAAAAAAAAACTACAATTTCATTCATTACAGTTTAAACGACGATAGACCCGGGGAGAAATGTGCCCGACCTTTCACACAAAAAGTACTTCCGGGTTACAAAAAATAAAATAAAATAAATAAATAATAAAATATAAATAAATAAACATCCCATAAAGTTATTTGAAATTATTTAAATCGCACGAAAGCCAATTCCCTTAAAAATAGGATTTAAATCTTGACAAGTATGGATCCGTTTAGAAAAAATACAATCATTGTGGTTGCTTATTGTATGTATTGGTAATATATTCACATTAGAGTAACCAAATAAAAAAAACATAAAATCAAGTTTCATACAAACATAGAAATTATGCGTTTTAATAATACACATCTTTATTTCCATAGAAGTAACGATTTGTGTTTATTTCCACTGTTCATAAGATTTTATGCGGTTAGTCATTTAATGGATTCAGAGGGGAACCTTTTGGATTTTGGTCGTTTTTGTGCCCAGTACAGCCTAAAATGTTCCGAAAAATTTTATAACAAACTGTTAAAATCTATACCTTGTTCTTTTAGATCTCTAGTTAAAAATATTTTGTTATACTCGGACATTTCCCCTAAACTGAGATCACTGCAGATCGAAGGTATTCAGATCCAGGATATTAGATGTAACAATAAGATGTTGAGGAATCTCCTTTTAAAAGAACTTTTCCCAAATCCAATTAGAAGACATTACATTTTAAAGGACTTTACAACAGATCAGATTATTGAAATAAGAACTAATTACATAACTTACCCTCTGCCACCAAAAGCGAAAAAGATGCAATTCAAAATTATCAATGAAATATATCCAGCTAAAGAATTTTTGACTTCTAAGTTTAAGTTTGATACACAATATTGTGTTTTTTGCATGAGAAACGTTGAGAGTTTGAAACATTTATTTTTCTTTTGTGAACCAATCTTTAAATTCTGGAAAGATTTCCAAAGTTGGCTAATATGTAAGAATGTTGTTTTGTCACCACTATTTGACACAAGTATTTTATTTGGTTTAGAAAGTGAGAATAAGACTCTTGAATATTTAGGAAATTACCTTATAGTGTTGGGAAAATTCTTCATTCACAGATGTAGGTTTTTTAAGACAAAGCCGACTTTTTGCCATTGGAAAAATGACTTTGATTTATATTATAAGTCTCTGAGATTAACTAATTCCTAACCCGCTGTCAAAATATCATCCTTATTGGAAAACTTGAAGTTGATATAAAATTCTTCATTCACAGATGTAGGTTTTTTAAGACAAAGCCGACTTTTTGCCATTGGA